TTGCTAAAGGCTGGAAGGCAGGAAAAACAAAGCCATTTCTTCCTTGGGGTCCACCAGGTTCAGACTGTGCAATTATCCTGTTGCAGGAGCCTGAGGGCTGTGGGGCTTTCAGTTGCCAATAATGGAAAACTGACCTGGGTCTTTTACCTTCTGTCTCCTATGACAAGAGGGCGTGAGGTCAGGGGTTCCTGGGGCTGCTCAATGTCCCAGTGACAAGTAAGCTCTCAGTCTCTTCTTTCAACCATCCTCACTGTGTCCACAATGCCTTCTCTCATGGTCACAAAATGGCTGCCACTATTCCAGGCATCACACACAGACCTGGCAAGTTCCAGTCAAAGTAGAGTGGCATTTCCTCCCATCTGATTTCTTTTAAGAAAGGCTCTCCCAGTAGCTCCCAACAGCTCCTGGAAGACTTCTCTGAAGAAACTATTAACCAGAATTGAGCACACTTATACCTAATCCAATCTTTGGAAAGATGCTTGAGGTTACTGTGATTGGCTTAGTCCCTAGACCTGGGGCTGGGGAAGTGTGAGTACCTGAGGAATGTCAGCCCCCTGCCATCAAGGCAGAAGGTGCAGGGATGGGTCTTGATTAGGTACCAATGGTGTCTGCCACAGTAGTTCTCATGACAAACTCCAGGAGAGTTTTGCTGGGCTGCAAAGCAGCAGGAGGTACTGCCCATGAGTCAGATGCACTCTTAGCCTGCATTGGTAGGAGCGTCCAGAGCAAGGGAGGGGATGGTCACTGCCTGTGTATGGCTGGACCACACAAGGCAGATCAGGCTCCTGGGGCAGAAGGAACCTGAAGCTCTTCCAGAGAAGGGAGTTGTGCTGGTGAGAGGTCCAGATGCACTGTCCATGGAGGTGTGGTTGGAAGAATAGGACATTTAACATGGAGAAGACTGAGATGTACTTGTCCATGTAGGGAACCATCCTGAATCCTTAAGAGCAAAGTAATTTCCTGTGGCTTCAGAAGGCGCAGCCAGAACCAGAAGCAGTCCTTGTCTCAATAGCAGGAATATGGTCAATGTCTCCATATGCTCATTAGAGCAGCTGCTCAGTGAAGGAAGAGGCTGCCTCAGAGAGCAAGGGTCCTGTAATTCGAGGCTATGTGACCTGGCAGGGAAGATGTTGAGGTGATTCTCGTTTTATGGGGAAGCTGGACTAGATATATTCCAGGCATGGGTGTGTGCTGGAAAGTGCTTGGTGCTTTAGAGTCAGAGGGTCCTGGGTGGGGCTTTGCCCCTTACTAGCTGTGTGACTTTGGGCAAGACATTTAATCTCTCTGAGTCTTACCTTTCTCATCTACCAAAATGAGAGTAACAGTACCTGCCTCACAGGGTGGTTGTGAGATTTGCCGTTTGCAGCACATAGTAGATACTCAATACTGAACATATCCTTAATTCTTGGGCATGTCTGTTACGTGTGGAGAGAAGCTGGCACTAGCTGTCTAGTACCTCCTGGCAGCCAAAAGCTTCCTTAGAACTTTTGCTGGCCTGGAATGAGGCCAGAGTTTTCATGACAAATGTGAGGACAGAACACAGCATAGCCCAGGCCAGGCTCCCTGCCCCTGCAGCATCCTGAGTCTCCCCAGTTGGACCTGGGCAATCTGGAAGGCCAGTACCTATCAAAGCCTGATGCTGGGTCCAGTGAAAGCCCTGGGATGTGGGCCTTTTCCCTGCCGCTGTAGCCACTGGTCATGTGCTCCTTCTTCAGGGAACAGGAACTGTGGAATAGTGGTGATTTAGGGAGTTGCCCTGAGTCAAAGGCTTGACCTTTTCCCTGGAAGCCTTTGGCTCCTCCGGCTGAAGGGCAGGGGTTGTTGGCTGAGTGTTCTGCTGCTCTTAATCCTAAGTCCAGGGCTCTGGGCAGAGTTTGCACAGGGCACATGGTGAAGTGGGTAAAGTATTCATGATTTCTTGTCTCCTTCTGCTAATGGGTTCTGTGAGCCATGTCCACCTGGGGGCTCCCCAATCCATGGGAACCAGCCTGGCACACTGTGTGGGACACTCAGAGCCCAGACATATTAGGGTGGAGCTGCAGCCCTGGTCCAGCCCATCCATCGCCAAGGAAATGCCAGTAATCTGCTCAGCACACAGATACGGAGGTGAATGTGGAACAGTCCTGGCTCTCAGGACCTTGGGCCTTTCTTTAGTTTTGTCATCTGTAAAATGGGAGTGTTAAATCCTTACCTAAATCACAGAATTGTTCACCAAGCAAACGAGAGCATGAGGTGAGAGAGCTCTGTGAATGGGAAATGCCCTAAATGTGGATTTTGGGAGAGTACTTGGCCAGAGAAGACCACAGAGGTCAATTCCATCATAGCTCCCGTCCTCAGGAGTGTGGCACCACCCACAAGGCCCTCCCCTGCAGCTGGGCGACTGAGGGGTGGGCGTGTGAGTCTCCTGGTGTTTGTCCAGATGCAGATGTGGGAAATTTCCAGCATCAGAGTGACTCAACCTCAGAGATTAGCAGCTTTTATCTGAAATCAGAGTCAGAGAAGGCTGGGCCTCTACTCTGAGTGGGTGTGTGGGAGCAGGTGGGGAAAGAGGCTATCTGGAAACCAATTCTGGCTACACCACTATCTTGTTAATGACCTTGAGCATCTCACTTCCTCTCTCTGAACCAAAAATCTCTTCCTCCCTTCCTCTGGGAAAGAAAAGCTGGACCAAGAATCTAGAGGAGTGTGTGTGTGTATGTGTGTGTGTAGTTCTTTGCAATCTTTGACCAAGGTGATGCTGGTGTTGTTTCAGCATCGTTGCCGCCTGGGCAAGAGGTGGGGACCGTGTCCACTAAAGACTGGGCTGTCTGGGGGACCCTCGGGAAACAGAGTCTCTTAGCCTTCTAGCCTGAACCCAGCTTTGGGAGTGAGAGGGGGCCTCAGCTTCATTCCACTCAGTGAAGATGAAGAGCTTCACCCTGGGGTGGGAAGGCTGGTGTGGTCAGTGTGGGCTGCTGCATTTTCCTCTGACAGTATGTCTGTCCTGAAGAAGTTCTTCCCTGGCCTTGGACACCCCTTCCCTGCCCTTGGCTTCCTGGGATAAGTTGTGGGGATGCTGTTGGCCTTGGTGGGGGCAAGGCTGAGCCTATCAAAAGAGCTAGAGGGTCCTACATGTAGGAGTGCGAGGACCTGAGGTGGATCAGAATTTCTTGGCTCCTGACAGATCATCAGGATCTGTCATCTCTGAAGGGTGACATTTTTGGTTACAGCCTCCCCTCTCACCATGGTTCTGAATAAGAAGTGACATGTCTTTAACAGCTCTGTGACTTCCGCCAAACCTTTGCTGCAGACATGGAACACCCTGGGGATAGGATGCAGTGAGGTGTCCGAGAGCTTATGCTTTGGAGCCATCGGGCCTGGGCTCAAATCCCAGCTCTGCCACCAACCCCACTGCCTGATTTTGGTAAATGAGCTGCACCGAGCCTTGGTTCGAGTTGACGCCTAATGGGGAATAAGATATGTGTTTTGTAATGTCACAGGCTTCAGTTCCAGAAGGACTGCTATGTTAGACTCCTTTTAGAATTTATTGAGGAGGAAGGATCAGCCTTCTCTCTTCATCAGACAGAGATTTCACTAGCTCAGCATTTCCCAAAGCGTGCTCCGTGGGACCCAGAAGGTGAGGAGGCCTCATACAGAGGGTCTGGTGCTGGGAGTGAGTTTGGGCAATGCTGGGTTAAGCACAGGTAAACAGCTGTGTCTGCTGCAAGCCTTTTCAGAGACTTCCCTGAGCTAAGATGTCTTAGGAAGCTCCACACATGAGTGATGTGTGCACGTTTCCCCAGATTTGTCTGACCAAGGAACTCTTTTCCCACAAGGCATTCCATGGGACCCATTTGGGGAAGAGTTAACACTGCATGCCTCTTTCTCTCTTGGCTCCCAGGGAGCTTCTGTCTCTATTTGAGGCTCACCCAGAGTCATCACATCAGCCGGGATCTTGGTATATTTATACCCCACCCCACTCTGTGGTGCTGATTTTCTATTTCTATTTTGCTGTACGTATATTTTTCCATGCAGGAGGCTTTAGACGCTGGGTGGAAGCGAGGAGGGTGGGGATGGCATCGTCTGGAGATAAAGAGCCCACGCTGGGACCATGGGTGCTGCTGAGCCCTGAGGAGCCCTGAGGGCAGGGGCTGGGGTGCAGTTCACCACTGCCATGATTCTGATCACCGTCAGAAGACAGAGATGAAGGTAGCCCCTTGGGAATTCCTTTGAATTCTGATTATTTTGCCCCAGGCAATGAAGAAAAGAAAGCCAGTGTCAGCAAGTTTATGTCCTGTAGGAACTGCTTAAGAAAGTCAAAGCCACCTTGTACTGGTCACTGCGGATCTCAGAAATGACATCAGAAATAGCGTTTCACATGAAGGCTGGCTGTGTCCTGCCTCCTGCAGGTGCCATCAGTTCTTACTTTGATCCCTGAATCAATCCCCAGGAAATAGGTCTCTCTCAGTATCTTTCAATTGACCTATGTGGGTAGGTGGGAGGACTGGGATAAAGTGCCCCTACCCCAACCCCTTTATTTCTCCAGTGTATTTCCATCTGCAGGGAACACACCATTAGCGGGGAGAGAAATCAATTTAGTGGGTTGTGACCAGCACCTTATAATGTGAACTAGAGTAGAAAGTATGAGAATGCATTGACTACAGTAGCGGTTAGGTATTATTTCATGATAGACAGACAGGAAGACAGGCATGGGTTGTGGTGTCAAAGGCTACCGTGGGGTGTACTCAGTGACATCTTGAAGCCACTGGCTAGCTGATTTCAGGCTCTGGCACCAGCTGGGCAGGGGGCCTCTGCTTCTGGGTCTGTCCTGGGCTCTGGGACCCAGCCCCGGACAGAATTGTCCCTCCACACTCAGAGGAAAATGTACCCTAAAGAGAGGGGTCTGTGAGGTATCTCACACCTGAGGTGCACCTGCTAGGTGGGTCTGCAGATCCCGGTGGGGCATGGCCGCTCCCCGGCAGCGCCAAGGGTATACAATAACAGAGGCAGCTGAGCCTGAGCCTGGTCTCCATGGACAGCATTTATTAGGCGCCATTCTCAGTGTGAAGACAGATAGGCAGGAAGGGCTGAGGGGAGGCCGTGGCAGCTGCGGCCTTTGGGGTCCAGGGGCTGCCCGGGGTGAGGGTGTGGGCGTGGGGGCACGTCGCCCACACGTATTGCATATTCTGTGGCAGTGTGCCCAGGCATAAGGCATTGGGGAAGCAGAAAGGCTGCCTGCAGTGGGAGGAGGGGATGGGGAAGCAACACTGGCCTTCCGGTTCCCTAGGAAAGACCCGGCCGGAGACCGAGCAGTCTGCCATGCTCTGTGAGGGCTATTCGGCCTCCCTTCCTGCCACCTCCTTGCAACTTTGGTTGTGGCTCCCTCGGGACTGACGGGACAGGACCCCTCGAGGGCAGGGTCACATGGGACAGAGGCAGCTGGCACTGCCCCTCACCCCAACATAAACACAGAGGGCACCCCTGGGGCCTGGGCCCTGTTCTCTGTGGCACCTGGGCAGCCAGCTTCTCCCTGCTGAGATGGGATTCACACACTGGCCAGGCCAGACTTCTTCCCTCCCAGGGGGGCCCAGAGGTGGGAGCATATGGCGGGGGTGGGGCTGAGGCTGATCCCCATGTGAGCACCCCTGCCCCCACTCCAGCTTCCCTGAATGCCAGGGCCAGCCTTGCTCAGCAGTGTTAAGGAACTGACACAGGAACAGTCAGAGGAGTCAGTATGGAGGGGGAGAAGCCCCTCACCCACTCCTCGAAGCTGTCCTGAGTTACGGTCCCAGCTCCTGCTGTGGTTCCTGATAGTGGAACCAAGGGTCTCACCTCCATCTGCTGCTCTCCATCTGGGCTTCTGGGTTGCAGAGGGGGAAGGCAGTGAGCACACCTGGGAGGGGTGTTCCTTGCTGCAGCTGTGGCTTATCTCTAGCCACCTAGAATGCAGGCATCAATGCTGGCTGTGGAACCAGGGATCATGTCCCATAGGATCTGCCTGCCGGCTCTCTAGGCTCCTCTGCCCAACTTCCAAACTCCGAAAGCCTTTCTTCCATGAGCCCCAGACCTGTTTATTTGGCCCAAGGACTTCCTGCTTGTAAGGGGCAGTCCAGGTCCTACCTTGCCTTGTGGCCAAGTGGAAGAGAGGCTGAGCTCGGCACTGGCTCAGACCTGGGCTCTGGTTCTCGTCTAAGGCCCAGTGGCCCACACAATGCCAGGGTGTGCAGGCCAGGAACTCTGCTTTTGAGAGTAGGCAGAGGAGTGAAAAGGAAAGAGCACTTAGGCTCGGAACAAGCAGCCTGGGTTCTTGCTCCCCATTGCCGTTTGCTACCTGTGTCACCTTGGGCAAGTCACTTCACCAGTCTGGGTCTCAGTGTCATCCGTCAAATGCAGATGAGAACTCCTGCCCTGGTGACCTAACTGGGATGTGGTGAGAATCAAACGAATGGGTAGTCAGGACAGGGTTTTCAAACTCATTCCACAGATCTAAGAGTGGGGAATTATCAGCAGCGGCCAGGAATGGCAAGTAGCAATTTTCTGTTTGATTCCAAGGGCAGTGTCTGGCTGGACTCCCCACCTCCCACCCACCCCCGGCCCCCCATAAGGATGTGACTGAAAGCCAGTTAGCTCTCACCTACCAGGGGAACCTTCATGCAGACAGCCACCCTCTTCCCTTCTCTGCCCCTCCTGCAGCCTGCCTATAGGTACTTCCATCTGCCTGCCCTCTGGGGACTAGCTTTAGGGACTGCTGGGTTTCCATTTCCTTCATAACTGCAAAGCCATGCAAAACAACACAAAAGGTAGTGGGAGACCGGGAGACACAGTTTGGGGATCAGGAAGGGGAGTGGGGACTGAGTGAGGGTGACCTCGACAAAGACACCCTGGCTTTTGGAGCCAAGGGAAGGTGGGAGACCTGGCAGGACAGAGGTATAAATAGAGATGCAAACTTACACGGAACACGAAGTTCCCTCCGGAAGGAGGAGGGGGAGGTGGTGGGGGTCTGGATGCCAGCAGGGCCTCTGCGGACTGAGGAGCTCCTTAGTTTTCTAGAGGGATGGGATGCTCCCAGCTTCTGCCTTCCTTCCCCCGATTCCCCCCTCCCCCAAGTTTCACATTTCTAGGAATTTGCAGGGCACAGATGGGGGCTCCAGGGGTCCTCAGAGCCCCGGCTCCTGCCGGCTGGTGCAAGCAGGCACAGTCGGAGATGGGGGGCTGGGAGAGGGGGAGAGGGGTGTAGGGGCGCCCCATGGAGCCGAAGGCCGCTGGGGTAGCCTCCCCGCTGACCCCTGCTGCTCCTCTGGGCATAAGTCCCCGCCCGCGCTCCCAGGTGCTCCAGGCCCCGCGCGGCGTTCACACGGAGCTCCTGCGCTTCATGAGGCCGCGGAAGGTGGACAGGCTGTGCAGGCCCGTGGACACTGAGCTGATGGCGGAGCGCTGGGCCCCGCTGCAGAGGCATCGGTGCGAGGGTGTGTCGCTGTAGCGACCGCCCCCTCCAGGCGACGAGTGGCTCTGCTCGACGCACGTGTCGGACGTGGAGAGGTCCCGCGGGATGATCATGGGAATGGAGTACTGCAGCTTCTCGCGGCTTTTGTACCAGAGGCACGAGCACATGGACTGGAAGTGCAGCACCTCGGCATAGACATTGCGGAAGCCGCCGCCGCCGCC